TTTTACGTTTTATATTTACTAGACGATGGATAATATCCAAGGAAAAAGTCCGGAGATAGGGATTAGCTCTATCTAGTGGGCCCAACTGTGTAGGAACCTGAAGACGGAGATAGAGTCCCATCTCCGAAACGTCGTTTTTACGTTTTATACTTACTAGACGATGGATAATATCCAAGAAAATTTTTATTCAATTGACTCTTCACCATCGTAAAGAAGTTTTAGAGTTGATATAAATCATTGATAGTTTTCTGCATAGAGTTGTGCCTTCAGATTTTGGTTTTGAACCTTATACCCTCTACTATTATTACGGGAGTGACGGTAGGAATGTATATCTTACATGGTAGCACTTGTATGGCGGTATTGAGTCTGCCCTAGATAATCCCGATGATAGTGAAGTTGAAAATTACGGTCGGCACAGAAGTTACAAGATTTATAAACCGAAAAATCGAGTCCCTGTGTTGAGTGGACCCATTGCCACCACGGCAGGTCACGTCCTTGGGTTACGAAGGGTAGAAAGGTCTTCACATGTGAATGCCTTGAATAAAAGTCGCGTACGTTCTAAGAGAGATGGTGGTACTTCATCTTGCGTGGTTGGTCATAGTGTACAAAAGATTGCTTCTAGAAGGAGTTTATTCTCGGCGGGGATATGATTTTTTATTTCTGAAGGTGTCTTCTACGATGTGGCGTGTAGTCCGGTAGAAAATGACAGACGTTTCAGAGGTACTTATGCCTGTGTAACATGGATTAATTTGTACCAGACCACACGGTGCAGTATGCCAGAAGACCTTCATCTTCATATTTGATGCTGTGAGAACCTGAAATCTCGCATGATTTTGTGTTCATTGCAACATCCGGCTCGCTGAGTCTTATGTCCGATTTGCGCCGGTGATAATGGGACAGGACGGCGGATCTGACCGCTAACCAATCGAGATGCGTACAGTTTGCCGTTGTCATGGCATGGTTCCAGGCACAGAGCAGCTTCAAATGTTACTTAGTTCAATTAGTTCGATAACTGACTTTAAATATTTTACACAGTAACACTTGATCTCCAAAATGTTAAAAAAGAAAAGTTTTGTTGGAGACTTCTAGAATATTGTAGTAGGTGGTAGTGGAGTTTCTCTCTCCGAACTGTCTCCTCGCTCACTCCCTCCCTCCCTCGTGTTCTTTCC